GCTGTTTGTAATTTCTCAGTGATTGATTGGCAGGAATGGCCAGAGTGCTATGAACAGTATCACCCTTAAAAATTGATCCGATGAAAATCATCACCCGCTCTAGTGTTATAATACTTAAGCACTGCCTGATACAAAGCTTTTGTTAAATGCGATTTGCCAACACCAGCCCCTCCACTGAGGAAGCAGTAGAAAGGGGTTTCTGAGGTTTTAATCTGATGTAAAATGTGTTTGCTCTTTATCGGGTGTCTGGACCATTTGACGAAAATCAAAATCAGGTAATTCATTCAATATCAGTGGTTCATTATTCAGCGATGTTGATGAAATGTTGAGATCATCAAAGAGGTCATAGTTTTCACTAAAATCAGGATGTAAATCTTCATGAGATCCAATCCTTGAACGGAATTGGTCAATGGAGATCCCCATATTTACTTGTGTGCTTGAGCGAGCAACAACAATCCAACTAACTAGAAACTCAGTTTATTAAAATAGATAACACTCTTGACAGTTAAAGGCAAACAATAGTTTCTTTCAGTTTGTGACACTTTGAGACACTCGTGAGACATTTTGAGACACTAGTGAGACACTTTGAGACACCCTGAGACTCTTTGAAGCGCAACCCGCACAAATACATTCAAGCCGACAAATGTTGGCTTGCGAGAGTACAATGACTCCTTTCAATCTGACACAACCCGCACCGAAGGTCCAAGCCGATAAATGTTGGCTTGTGAAAGCGTAAAAGCTCCTGTGCAACCTGCACTGAACACAAGCCGCGTTTCAGCGTGTTGACTTACGTGAAAAAATCTTTTGTTATAGACACCTGAAGAAATAACGAAACAAACGCCTCAGATTATGAAAGAAAGAACACAAACCAGGTGTTCAAACGTAATCGCCTTTCGTGAGAGCTTAATCGTGAGGGAGTTACTACATCACGGGCGACGAGTGGGGGATGAAGAAAAGACCGAAATACGAGTGGTCAGCGGGTAAACAAATTTAATAATTCATATAAATACATATCAGTTATAGTTGCGGAAAACAAAAGTCTTCTAAAGCCGAAATGTCAACAATATACTTCGCTGAATAAAATGTTAAGCAATTTTTCAAAAGTGTTGATGGCACATATATCTTTTACT